CCTTCCTCCAGCCCCTGGACTAAGAGGAGGTCAGTGTCGGCTCCCGACACACCGGCCTGGCGTTTTTTCAGCCTCTTCTCTCCCTCGATGCGGAGAAAATGCTGCCTGATTTTTTTGGAGACCCCTCGGGGAGGTTTTCCTTGCTCGTGCGGCTGCTTGGGTCACCTCGGTGAAGCAGTGCCGTGCAGGCTGGTGCTGCTGGCCCCTCAGTGACCTAAATACACCTTTCCTAAAACCCCAGCCCTGTTTGAGGCCCAGAGTTTATAACTTTGCCTTCAAGAATATGTGTATGCTTGCTCCTGAATGTCATCTGATTTTAAAGGTTCTGGGTGTAATTGTGTTCTATGTTAGCTATCTCAAGGGAAAATGCCTGCAAAATGTGTTCCTCCCTCTGTTTCGTCCCTGCTTGCAATCAGCAGTCAAACTGTTCATGTAGATTCTCCAAATTGGCCAAGAGTCCCTCTGGACCTCTGTTGAGGTTACACAGATGAATCGAAGCGCTTTGGTTTTCAGCGGCATGTGACTGCTGCTTGTTTGTGTGTGGATATGTATGCACACTTGCAAACTTGTGCACGGAGATCCTACTTCCTTCTATAGTCATGAAAACATCCCTATCTCTTCTCTAGACTTTATATCCTGTTATTCAAATATTTACTTCTCTTTTGTTGCTTTGCTGTAGAAATGACACTTGTGTGCCTTTAAAACTTTTCCAGCTATTTTGGCTATAGTCCAAGTACCTCGATCTGTAAACCTTAATTATACCACTTTTCCACTCTCATTTCCATCCAAAATATGGATCCTCAGGGATGACCACAAGAGAGCAAGTTTTATTTCAGACTTGAGCTTTCAGAGCATTGACTACCATAAATTTACTGGTCCTCAAGAGAACTTCTTGTTGAAAATGTTACTTTAATGCCCAGGTTTGTTAGAACGTCACTGTTTTTTTATCTTATTTTCTGTATTCTAATTATGCATTCAGTATTGGGGAAAAGTGTTAAACTTCTGAAACAAAATCACATGGCTGTGGATGTAATTGCTGTTAGCTAAACGAAATGGAAAAAGTTCTTGTAAGGGCACCTATCTGAAGGTCGTTTCTTAAGGAAAGAATTCCTTTGGAATTCTGTCTATGAACTGTAGCGCTGCTGGAGTTACTGAAGTGCACAGCTATCTTGCTGATGGTTTCTACTGCGTTTCCAAATACTTGTATTGTCAGTGCATCCCTGTTGTAAAGAGGGAGGGGCAAAGGGAAAGTTTGTTAGGCAGGCTCCAAATTTCTGAGGGAATGCAACTTAATTAAACTCGGTATAAACATAAAGGAATCTTCTCAAGCCAGGTAGCTTGATTGACTTAAATGCTTGGCTATAGCGTTACGATGATGGCATGCTACAGTCATTAAGTTTAGTAGTAATTATGCTTAGAGAGGTCCTTTCTAACTATAAGTAGTAACGCAAAGTCTATCACTTGTGTTGATTGGACATAGAACTCTTGATACCCACATCTCCTGGCAGATTGTGGGTTATACTTTAAATATTACTCTTCTTTGTTTGATATCAGAAGGTCTACTCTTATCTATGGTAATTTAAGGAGGAAAGCCTATGTGTCTGTTGAATTAAGGAGAATAAGGTATCTAGGGATGCAGTGCTCCCCTTCCTTTTTTCCTCCTTTTTGTCATTGTCTTTACCCTGTCTCTTAAAACTTTTTAAACTTTCTATCTGATGTATGCAAAGTGGTGGAGGTATGAAATTCAGTTTGGTTTAATATATCCTGTAGTTCATTTACACCAGACTGTGAGCAAAGGTCACCTCTGTAATTACCAGAGGGTGAAAGTGTTCTTATTGAGGGCCCGTGTAGGAGCCAAGTCATGGATTAAAGCGCCTGAACATGAATGCATGTGAGGGAGAGAAAGAGAACTTGCATGTTAGAGGGACGCTGTCAGCTTGAGGGCTAAGCCCTTCTTTAGGCCTCTTCCCTCCAAAAGTAGCCTCAGATGCTCAGTGATACCCATTCTTATATATGATATGAGTTAAGTTTTCTAGAGTGCATTAGATAGCTTTTATTTTTGTAAGACATGCAACATTTTTGAGTCGTTACTACAGCTTCTTGGAATCAAAAGACTGCATGAAAACTTCTTTCGTAGTAGTTGTTTGCTTGTGGAAGAGGCGGAAAGAAAAAGCTTGTATGTAAAGCCAATGTACTGAAAACTTGGAGAGAGAAAAAGCGAAACAAGTAGACAGTACTCCTTACCATGTCTCTTTTGAAATGGAAGCGGGAAGAAAAGGAGGAGGAGAACAGGAAGGATGGTGCTAAACAAACATAATTTTTGGAGAAGGTTGAGCTGAGTCACAACTGTGTTTTTTTATTTTATTTTTAACAAGGCTAAATGTTATGTCTGTCTCAGTAAAAAATAGAGGAAGACACAAAGAAAAGAGGTAGCACTTTCCTCCTTTGGTTGCTGCGCTAAAGGCTTACCATACAGGTAGTGCATATATTGAAATTGTTTATGTATAAATCATAGATTAAAGTGCATATAGAAGAAAAAATTCTGGTTGACTTTTTTCTCCTTTTGTGATTTTACAAGAATTACTAAATTAAATTGGCTCCTGGGTTGCAAAGGAGAAAGAGCTTACCTTTTTAAAATCCTCTTTGCACTTCACCAGAAATCTTGGCGTGTCAAATTCAGTTGATTTCAGATACTGTGTAATACAAAGAAAATGTGTTCTGCTGTTATCTCCCTGAGTTCTGGAATAGCATACTTAGCATGGGATCACTTTTTATATGCTACTGATAAGGGATTTTTACCAGGCCAAGTTTTTGTGGCACAGTAACTTTCCAGTACTTATTTTCCGAACTAATATGATTAGCTGTCTCAAAAGACTAGTCATTATTCCATTTACTTTGATAACAAATAGATCCTCCTTAGCAACACGCTAAAAAGTGTGCTTTAAGATCTAATATGTGTCTGTGGTCTGTTTATCATCATGTTAAGTCTGTCTGCTTATCATCTTTCAGCTATTTCACTGAATATGTAGGCTATAACTTTGCTAACCTGGAGTTATGTAACCTATAATACAGTTCACTAATCTCGAGAGTGTCTAGTGTAGAGTAGTGAATGAGGTTTTTAGATTTTTTAAATGGCAAGAATTCTTTGTCTGCTCTTCTTCCCCCTCCTTGTTTAGTTTTGGCAAAGCTTGAGGGGTGAGACTGCCAGTAGGACATATTCAAAAGGAATAATGCGGTTCAACACCATAACCGTAGTTATTTTATCATTATGAGAACGATTCTTAAAATATTTGTAGACAAAATCACATTGAATTCTACATTTGGGAGTTCAGTGATTTTTTTTTTTTTAACTTCATCACTTATGCTGTTGTTTTACTTAGTGTAGAGCAAAATAGCTTCTAAGTGGCCTCATTTTTATTATTATCTAATGCTAGCCTGCTGCAGCTGTGCTTTGATGGTGAGTGCTGCAGATTCAAATCCCAAAGTAATTTTCCTGTAAATATCAGTGGCAGGAACGGTGGTTAAAAGGGATGTCTAGAGGTCATCCAGTATGACATCTTGCACAGAGTCTGGAGGTTGTCCAGTCTAGCCCGGTATCAAGACTTTTGCCGACACTAGATCCAGGTCATCTAGGCCATCAGGCCA